CTTTGCCTATACTTCTTTAAGTATTTTTATTTTTTTTAAGAGCAATTAAAGTCAAAGATTTACTTTAAGTCCATGAAAGAATGTGATGCAATTGAAGCTTCCCTTATCCTACTCTGTGTCTGCTGTGTTCTCAGTCATTATGAAGTATCACTAGACTATAGTATTTTAACAAAATTCTGTCATTTTTAGACTCGGTGGGAAGCAGGCCACCCATGTTGCCTCCTGGTGGAAGAACAACCACTCCTAGACCTTTTGTCGCACCAAGTGCATCTCCAAGGGGCCCTCCACCTCAGCTGGGCATAAGAAGTGGCGCCTCAGAACTACCAAGAACCCGCATGCCACCTCCTCCAAGGAACGATTTTAATCCAAGATCAGTAAATGCACAGCCTTTAGTCCCTAATACACCAAGGCCTGTCTCATCAGGTCTTTACAACAGAGGCCCTCCAACAGTGCCTGCTGGAAATAGGCAAATAACCCCAGGATCTGTTTCTTCACTTTTGTCATCAAATAAAAGTCCTGGATTTGGTGGTAACAGCAGAACATCTCCATCAATGCCTCCAGCACCTCCATCTCTGAACAAGCCATCTTTCCCTCAAGCACATAGCCGTTCCATGGATGATAGGCCACCACCACGACCTTCAACAGGAAATAGGCCACAATTCAGTAGAGATGATGATAGGCCACCACCACGACCTTCAACAGGAAATAGGCCACAATTCAGTAGAGATGATGATAGGCCACCACCACCACCTTCAACAGGAAATAGGCCACAATTCAGTAGAGATGATGATAGGCCACCACCACGACCTTCAACAGGAAATAGGCCACAATTCAGTAGAGATGATGATAGACCGCCAACAGTAAATAGACCATCACTTGGCAGAGATGATGACAGGCCGCTACCTCCTCCAGCAGGACATAGACCTCCGTTTGGGAGAGATGATGACCGGCCCCCACCTCTTCCAGTAGGAAACAGACCATCCTTTGGTAGAGAAGATGACCGCCCCCCTGCTCCTCCAACAGGACATCGGCCTCCATATGGTAGAGATGATGATCGGCCACCTCCACCTTCAACAGGACATAGACCAACAATTGGTAGAGATGATGACAGGCCTACACCTCCTCCAACAGGAAACAGACCTCCACTTGGACGAGATGGACCTCCACCTCCCCCACCTCAAAACAATAAACCACCAGTTCCCTCCACACCGAGACCAAATTCATCTAGCCAGGGACCTCCTCTGCCACCAGGTCGCCCTGGACCTCCTCCACTTCCTCCTACCCCATCCAATTTTGATGATATGCCAAGACTTCCTCAACGAAATCCTTCCTTTTCATCTTTACCTGCTCCACCTCCACCTGCCCCACTTCCTGGCCGGTCTGGTCCACCTCCACCACCATCTAGAGACCCACCTTCAAGAACAGGTAAACATCTCATTTTACCACCTATATTTAATCATGTTACCCTCCAATATTGTCTTTCTGGGATCTGGCAGCTAAATGTTCCTGTGCTTTTAAAGCAACTCCTGAGAAGAGTATGGGGGGCTGCTATTATTGACTTTGGGAATGTTAGTTTCCTGGATGTCATGCTGATGTATTCTGATGTAAGGGTAATAGCGCCTCTTAAAAAAATGTCCATCTCTCTTGAAGGCTACATTAGGTTGTTTATTTGGATAGAAATGTTAGATACAACCAACGCATTTCAGGGGAATAAGACTTCCCATTCTTCAGGGCTTGAGTAACAATAAGCAGCGAATTCAGGACAATCTGTTTTTTGTAGCCTGAATTAGGCCTGGATGAGAACTGAGTGTCGGTGTAGCCAGCTTTGTAGTAAGGACTGGATCTGATTCATGAATTGGCTTCAATGTTTGCTGAGTCTCTGTACTGGAGCACGTATTGACATAAGAAATTCCAACACGGTTCTAACGCATATCTACAACATACTTGTTCTGGGTCTGGGAACCAAATGTTTTGATGCCTGACACAGCCAGGCAACTAGAATTTTAACAGAGGGACAGCAATGGTAGCCCAATTCTTTACTCATGACAGTCACTTTAAAGTGACACTAAACTCAGGAATTAAATCTTAAAAATGCATTCAAGTACCATAACTATTAACAAAAATGTATTGTATTTGTGTATCACTCGGCTGTAGATCCTCAAATCATCTCTGAATCGGTGCCGACACTGACCTTCCTTCTGTAGGTGGCTACTTTGGTTCCCCATGGTTCCTGTGTGTGTTGTAAAGTAGCCACTGCTCTAAGCTCGCTCCCGTGATGGACTACAATCTCACATTTAGTTTACTTATTTGTATTGAGATTGTAGTCCATCACGGGAGCGAGCTTAGAGCAGTGGCTACTTTACAACACACACAGGAACCATGGGGAACCAAAGTAGCCACCTACAGAAGGAAGGTCAGTGTCGGCACCGATTCAGAGATGATTTGAGGATCTACAGCCGAGTGATACACAGATAAGATACAGTTTTGTTATAATTAAATACTTGAATGCAGTTTTAAGATTTAACTCCTGAATTTAGTGTCACTTTAACTGGTGACCTGCAAAGATTATTTAAAGCTCCTTGCTATTCGGATACTGTGATTTAGTGCATATTTGCAGTTTGTTAACAAATGCCCTCAGCAACTACGTACATACCGGTAGTAGTATAATGATAAATATTCCTCACAAAGTCAGCCAGGACATTCTATTTTTATCAGGACAATTGACACATCTTATTGAACAGAATGCCTTTTAATGGTACCCCAAGTGTATTGAAAAGTACATAGTAAGAAGCTTTTCATACTTGAAGACAGGTGGTAGTTTTATATTATCAGTATGTTGGACTGGTATGTGGAAATATAATAGTTTCATATCTTAAAACTGCTTTTGCCTAGGACAACTTCCTCCACCTCCCCCTGCCAATAGAAATGGTTTTGGAAATAGAGGGCCCCAGCCTGTGACAAAACTTGGAGCAGAATCCACAAGAACTGGCTCAAGACCACCACCACCTCCAGAAAGACCAGGACTGGGGCCTCTGCCTCCTCCGCCACCGTCTTCGTCTGTGAGAAATGGTTATCAAGATGCATCTGCTGAAGGTATGAAGAGGGTTCCTAGTATGCAAAAGCACATTGAAACATGTGTTTGACAAAAACAAAATGCCAAAAAAACTTTTAAAGTGACCCTTGCTATTCATTTTGCCATACAACCTAACAGTACACATCTATAGAGGTGATTGTAGACTCCTGCTACAGAAATTCCTAGATGGCAGCTGTAAAACTTAAAAATCTACTTTAACGCATATCTAAACCCAAAAACAAAAATGTTATATATTGCGGCTTCCCAATCCCTAAATGTGGTGGCTGCATTCATTTTCTTTTTTAGGGTTTTTTTTCCTTTATTTTTTTTTACCTGGTGATCTGGCCAGTATCACACTTCCAGTCTTACAGTGACTCCACTCTATGCAACAGAGCCCCCCTTGGACAGCACAATTGTCACCCCGTGGAGAGAGTAGTGTTAGGTGAATTATTTATTTATTATTGGTATTTATATAGTGCCAACAATTTACTCGGCGCTTTACATTGTGCACATTCACATCAGCCCCTGCCCTCAAGGAGCTTACAATCTAAGGTCCCTATCTCACATGCATACATACAGGGCCAACTTTAGAAAGGAGCCAATTAACCTTCCAGCATGTCTTTGGAGTGTGGGAGGGAAGGAAATCCACGTAAGCACAGGGAAAACCCTTGCAGATAGTGACCTGGTCGGGATATGAATTAGCAGATTCAGATGGATTTGAGTAACATATTAAATCCAAACTCCAGCTAACATTCTTTTAGTAGTTACAGCATCAGTTTTTTTTTCCTTTTGGGATAAATGTGGTGCCACTTCTGCTGGACTGTTTGGTCTTGTAAAGGAAGTTGAAAAATAACAGACTTACTTGCCAGATCACCAGGTTAAAATGAAGGGAAAAAAGCCTAAAAAAAAATGAAAACTAATGAAGCTACCGTATTTAACCACTTGCTGACCAGGTGTTTATACCCCCTCCCTGGCCAGGCCATTTTTCAGTATTCAGCGCTTCGGTACTTTGACTGACATGTAATCCGTCATGCAACGCTGTACTGAAATGAATTGTTTACCATTTTTTGGGGACAGATATAGATTTCTTTTGGTGGTATTTAATCACCACTACGGGTTTTTTTTTTTTTTTACTGTATAATAAAAAAATTACCGATTTAATTTTGAAAAAAAAACCTGTTCTCCCTACGTTATGTTGTAAAACATTTATTATTACCCAATTTTTTGGTAAAATATAAGTCGGGGTCACGTCGGGTAAATAGACACCAAACATGTCATGCTTTAAAATTGCGCGCACCCGTTAAATCGCAAAAAACTACTATACTCAAAATTGACCATAGGCGACGCTTTAAAAGCTTTTACCGCTCATCAGTTTAGTGTTATCAGTGATTGATGACCCTAGAATTATTGCTCTCATTCCGACGCATGTTTGCATGTGGGGGCGGGGCACTTTTATTTTTTTATTGCTTTGATATGCGATTTTTACATTTTTTTTATTTTTTTTTTATATATTTTTTTTGAACCTTTTTTTTTCCACTGAACTTTATTGCTATCACATAGGGAGCAAGCAAGCTCCCTATGTGATAGCCAATTTGCAGTGACAGGTCCTCTTTATGGAGACATCAGGGGTCTTAAGACCCCTAATGTCACCTAGGGACCCCCAGAGAAGCTGATGAAGCAGAGACCGGAGAGTGACACTGAATACAGGAAGTGATGTAATACACATCACTGCCTGCATTCAGAAGAGGAGAGGAGATCAAACGGAGCTCGTGTTCTGAGCTCTGTTTTGATCTCCGGCCGCAGAGCTGCTGTGCTGGTCCCGGGCTCACACCGGGAACAGCAGAGCCCAGCCAGCAGCGGCGGCGACGGAGGGGGGGCCCGCACACCCAACCGGATATTACAAGAGATCGGGCGTCTCTACAGACGCCCGAACGCTTGTATGTAAACCACCAACGCTGGCTGTTTACATTGAAAGCCGGTTTCCCGCTCGTGCGTGCCGCCTAGCGGCGGAACGGGATAGGACGTCTAAAGGAGCCCACCCGCCCTCAAGATGCCGCTGTCCGGCCATTTAATTACAACGGCCGAACAGCAGGTATTTAAGGATTGGTAATGTGTAATGTATTAGATTTCTGCCTTTGGGTTTAGATACGATTTAAGTCTGACTGGATACATTGACCTCATTCTTGCTTTCCAGACTGGCAGGAATTTATCTTTTTTTTCCTGTTGGCTGACCGTTCACTGTGCTATATTAGGATAGTAAACTGTCAGCCAATTAAAAAAAGGAATAATTCCAGCCAAAAAGGAATCATGATGTCATTGTACCCAGGCAGACTTGCTACACAGACATACTCTACTCCCTACTTCTAAAGGATAACTAAACCCAAGAACAAACATAAAATATATTGCAGCTTACCAGTCCTCGGATTTGGTGGCTGCATTTGCTTTTATTCTGACTCTGATTGTTGTGCTAGAGACTTATCCCTTGCTGAGACCTCTATGCCTGGCCTTTATAAGCCGATACAATCAATGAGGACAATCATTGTCAGATAGCGGAACTCACTAATACCTTTTCGTCCACAAGGGTTGCTTTATTCTGTACATCAGACAACAGGATAACAGCGGGTAAATGATTGCGGTATTATGCGGTCAAAAGACGATACTTTCGTAGCATGCGATGCAGATTGCATGTGTCCCCTTGCATGCAGCTAACATGTGCCCCTGTAGCCATGACACAGGACGTACTGACCAACAAGAAGGGTGGAGCATATACAAAGGTGAAATATTCATAGACATCAGTAAAGGAACATAAAAAACATGTGCATTACCACAAAGGGTCACTAGATGGCAGCATGTGAACTAATATATAAAACGTCCATAGGAAAATGATTTAGGGAAACAATCTATATAAATTCTATCTAACATTAAAGGAGAACTATGAGGTGAGTGCTTTTCACTCACCTCATAGTTCTAGCCAACCTGTGACAATGAGACTGTCACAGGTCGGCTCAGTAGATCGGGAGGTGAGCGAACACATACCGGCGTTCGCTCACCTCTCGATCATGTCACGTCTCTCTGCCGTGACAGGTTAGGGGCTGAATTCCCTCCGATCCGCCAGTGCTGACTGGCGGAACGGACGGGGGAGGGGGCGGGTACAGCTGGCTCTGCCCCTAGATAACCAGAGCCAGCTGTCAGTCACGCAGCTGGGCGGATCCCCAATGTAAATAACATATTCTATGCCCCATTGGGGCGGCACAGCTTTCATGTTTCAAGCTGAAAACAAATTATTATTATTCGTTTTTTTTATATAGCGCTGACAATGTACGCAGTGCTTTTACATACTATTTATTCACCTCAATTCCTGCCCTCAAGTAGCTTACAATGTAAGGTCCCTATCTCACCTGCATACACACATACAGAGCCAATTTAGACTGAAGCCAACTAACCTACTAGCATGTCTTTGTAGGAGGAAACCAGAGTACCCAGAGACCCACACAATTCCAGGGAGAACAAGAAAATTATTTAAGCAATACAGAAAATATTTGTTGATGCAATGTTCTTGTCACTTCCTGTGAGATGAAAAACTTCCTGTGAGAAGCAAAAACAATGTTCTATTTCTTGTCTAAACTACTAATCTCATCACCTCCATGTAATGGAAATGAACAAAGGCAGTCATGTTTGAATTGCAGCCTGAGTGACAGTTATGTCTCTCACCACACATACAGTTGAGGGTTGAGTGCATTCACCCAAGGACAGAAAAGGGGGAATGAAGTTAAAAAAAAAAAAAAAAAAAGCTGGAGCAGACAGAATCTTGAACAGCTACCCGTAGTAACCTGACGCTGATTGTTGTAGTAGCAGCGATTTATACCTTGCTGAGACCTCTATGCCTGGCCTGTATGAGCAGATACCATCATTGCGGACAGTCCTTATCAGATAGCTGGACTCATCAAATACCTTTTCCATCCACAAAGGTGCTTTATTCTGTACATCAGGTTATAGCAGACAACAGGATACAGCAGATTAATGAATTGGCGGTATTTAAGGCGGTCAAAGATGACAATGTTTCCAAGCATGCAATGCAGATTAACACTTGGCCCTGTCAAAAGCAGCCACAACACTCACCACACTTAGCAAGAAGGGGGAATACATCATAGATGGGAGGGAACACAGAAAACATGTGCAATATCCAAGTGTAATGAACTAAAACGACCACTAGATGGCAGCACATGAACCATACTATATCTATGAGAAAATGGCTTAAAGGAGAACTATGGGGTCAGTGTTTTTCCCCATGGTTCTCCTCAGGGTCACGGGAGGACATAAACTAGCGTCCTTCCGTGAACCAAAGCTCAGTATATTGCGAGCTACAGCTTGTGGTATACTGAGACCGCCGCAGCCGGGAGGGATCCCGACATTACTCTCGAGATCCACCCAGCTGTGTGAGTGACAGCTGGCTCTGCCTATCTAGAGGCAGAGCCAACTGTACCCGCCCCCTCCATCGTCTGTTACGCCAGCGCTGAGTGACAGTCACGGCTCTCTGCAGGGACATGATCGAGAAGTGAGCGAGCAGCGGTATATGTGTTCGTTTACTTCCGGATCTATTAAGCCGACATGTGACAGTTTCATTGTCACACGTCGGCTCGAACTATGAGGTTGAGTGAAGATCACTCGCCTCATAGTTCTCCATTAAGGAAAACAAACTACATAAATTCTCATCTAACATCAATGTGAATATTAACTGTGGCTGTGAATATAACTATTGTGGCAGCACAGTAACCAATTAGCTTCTATCTTTCATTTTCTTAATGAAACTGGCTTAACTGAACAAACAGAGAAACTGAGAGAGAAGCTGATTGGTTGCCATGTGCAACCTCTCCATATTCTCTCTGCTACCATTTTTGATAAATTCCCCCAGTGTAATTTTGGCTCTGAATTTCAAAGCAAGTGGTGCCAGCCCTACCTACTTTATTTTTGATGAATTACCAAGAACACAGACCTCTCCTCATTCCCTCACACCTACTTGTCTCTATAGCTGCTTTTTATGCACAGGCAGAGATCACAAGAAAGTATCGGCTCACAAGATTTCTGGCATAATCAGCCAGTATTTTTTTGAACTTATCGAACAGATATAAGAAAACACTTTCAATGGTTTATTTAGCAGACCAAACAGGTCATCATTAGGGTTTATAGACAATTTAACATTTACTTTAATGTCTGTTGATTGATATTACATACAATCCCAATGGGCCAAGATTTCACGGTCTATATAAAGAATGGGTGATGAATATTATATGGGTAGCCTCAGACATTTCATAATGTATTCCTAATATTCTATATGGTCTTATTCTTATACTTAGCACAGCGTATGTGTTTTACCATCTGTATGATTTGTATGTTTTGTTTTTTTTTCTCTTTTATATAGATGAATGGGAAAGACGATTTTCATTCCGCCCGTTTACTGATCTGCCACCCCCGGAACCCTACATACCGACAAACAAGTCTTACCCCAGTAATCTCATGAGAAATGATAGCAGAAGTGAGTATAATTGTCCTATTTTAAAAGATAAGTTCACTTTTCTTTACCTATCCCTCTGCACATTTTAATATTTGATACATATCTACTATCCCACTCCTCCAAGATCTTACTGTGTGGCCTGTCCTGAAATCACTCTGCCATTGCACAAAATCTTCACATTATTAGCTGCACTGTGGCATCTATTTATTTCTGTGGAGAACCCAATCATTAATATTAATTGGGGATACACCGAAACGTTTTTTTCGGTGTCGAGTAAGAGTACCAATATATTTTTTTCGGTACTCTCCAATTCCCGAGTACCGGTGCTTTGTGCCATCCCCGTGTTCCCCCTCGTGTTCCTGATTGCCTGTGAAGCCGGAGTTCTAGCGAAAGAACAGATCCTGACCAATCAGGAAGCCGGGCAGCGTGTCATGAGGTGCTGTCCGTCTTCCTGATTGGTCAGGAAGCCGGACTGTTTAACAACATGTGAAGGTGGCTTCCTAGCCAATCGGGGAACCGGGCAGCGCGTCATGACCTGCTTCCTGATTGGAGAGGAAGCCTGGTTGCCTAGGAACATGTGAAGCCGACTTCCTAACCAATCAAGAAGACAGGAGGCGGGTCATTACGTGCTGCCCGGCTTCCTGATTGGTTAGGAAGCCAGGTTGCTTCGCAACATGTGAAGCCGGCTTCCTAGCCAATCAGGGGGGCAGGTGCCGAGGGAGCACGGAGCCGGCTTCCTTTCCAGTCAGGAAGCTGGCTCCATGCTCCCTCGGAACTGCCGGACAGAGGGAGATTTCCCTCTGACCAGAAGACACTGAACTTTATTGCTATCACATAGGGAGCAAGCAAGCTCCCTATGTGATAGCCAATTTGCAGTGACAGGTCCTCTTTATGGAGACATCAGGGGTCTTAAGACCCCTAATGTCACCTAGGGACCCCCAGAGAAGCTGATGAAGCAGAGACCGGAGAGTGACACTGAATACAGGAAGTGATGTAATACACATCACTGCCTGCATTCAGAAGAGGAGAGGAGATCAAACGGAGCTCGTGTTCTGAGCTCTGTTTTGATCTCCGGCCGCAGAGCTGCTGTGCTGGTCCCGGGCTCACACCGGGAACAGCAGAGCCCAGCCAGCAGCGGCGGCGACGGAGGGGGGGCCCGCACACCCAACCGGATATTACAAGAGATCGGGCGTCTCTACAGACGCCCGAACGCTTGTATGTAAACCACCAACGCTGGCTGTTTACATTGAAAGCCGGTTTCCCGCTCGTGCGTGCCGCCTAGCGGCGGAACGGGATAGGACGTCTAAAGGAGCCCACCCGCCCTCAAGATGCCGCTGTCCGGCCATTTAATTACAACGGCCGAACAGCAGGTATTTAAGGATTGGTAATGTGTAATGTATTAGATTTCTGCCTTTGGGTTTAGATACGATTTAAGTCTGACTGGATACATTGACCTCATTCTTGCTTTCCAGACTGGCAGGAATTTATCTTTTTTTTCCTGTTGGCTGACCGTTCACTGTGCTATATTAGGATAGTAAACTGTCAGCCAATTAAAAAAAGGAATAATTCCAGCCAAAAAGGAATCATGATGTCATTGTACCCAGGCAGACTTGCTACACAGACATACTCTACTCCCTACTTCTAAAGGATAACTAAACCCAAGAACAAACATAAAATATATTGCAGCTTACCAGTCCTCGGATTTGGTGGCTGCATTTGCTTTTATTCTGACTCTGATTGTTGTGCTAGAGACTTATCCCTTGCTGAGACCTCTATGCCTGGCCTTTATAAGCCGATACAATCAATGAGGACAATCATTGTCAGATAGCGGAACTCACTAATACCTTTTCGTCCACAAGGGTTGCTTTATTCTGTACATCAGACAACAGGATAACAGCGGGTAAATGATTGCGGTATTATGCGGTCAAAAGACGATACTTTCGTAGCATGCGATGCAGATTGCATGTGTCCCCTTGCATGCAGCTAACATGTGCCCCTGTAGCCATGACACAGGACGTACTGACCAACAAGAAGGGTGGAGCATATACAAAGGTGAAATATTCATAGACATCAGTAAAGGAACATAAAAAACATGTGCATTACCACAAAGGGTCACTAGATGGCAGCATGTGAACTAATATATAAAACGTCCATAGGAAAATGATTTAGGGAAACAATCTATATAAATTCTATCTAACATTAAAGGAGAACTATGAGGTGAGTGCTTTTCACTCACCTCATAGTTCTAGCCAACCTGTGACAATGAGACTGTCACAGGTCGGCTCAGTAGATCGGGAGGTGAGCGAACACATACCGGCGTTCGCTCACCTCTCGATCATGTCACGTCTCTCTGCCGTGACAGGTTAGGGGCTGAATTCCCTCCGATCTGCCAGCGCTGACTGGCGGAACGGACGGGGGAGGGGGCGGGTACAGCTGGCTCTGCCCCTAGATAACCAGAGCCAGCTGTCAGTCACGCAGCTGGGCGGATCCCCAATGTAAATAACATATTCTATGCCCCATTGGGGCGGCACAGCTTTCATGTTTCAAGCTGAAAACAAATTATTATTATTCGTTTTTTTTATATAGCGCTGACAATGTACGCAGTGCTTTTACATACTATTTATTCACCTCAATTCCTGCCCTCAAGTAGCTTACAATGTAAGGTCCCTATCTCACCTGCATACACACATACAGAGCCAATTTAGACTGAAGCCAACTAACCTACTAGCATGTCTTTGTAGGAGGAAACCAGAGTACCCAGAGACCCACACAATTCCAGGGAGAACAAGAAAATTATTTAAGCAATACAGAAAATATTTGTTGATGCAATGTTCTTGTCACTTCCTGTGAGATGAAAAACTTCCTGTGAGAAGCAAAAACAATGTTCTATTTCTTGTCTAAACTACTAATCTCATCACCTCCATGTAATGGAAATGAACAAAGGCAGTCATGTTTGAATTGCAGCCTGAGTGACAGTTATGTCTCTCACCACACATACAGTTGAGGGTTGAGTGCATTCACCCAAGGACAGAAAAGGGGGAATGAAGTTAAAAAAAAAAAAAAAAAAGACGGGAAAAAAAAAAAAAAAAAAAAGCTGGAGCAGACAGAATCTTGAACAGCTACCCGTAGTAACCTGACGCTGATTGTTGTAGTAGCAGCGATTTATACCTTGCTGAGACCTCTATGCCTGGCCTGTATGAGCAGATACCATCATTGCGGACAGTCCTTATCAGATAGCTGGACTCATCAAATACCTTTTCCATCCACAAAGGTGCTTTATTCTGTACATCAGGTTATAGCAGACAACAGGATACAGCAGATTAATGAATTGGCGGTATTTAAGGCGGTCAAAGATGACAATGTTTCCAAGCATGCAATGCAGATTAACACTTGGCCCTGTCAAAAGCAGCCACAACACTCACCACACTTAGCAAGAAGGGGGAATACATCATAGATGGGAGGGAACACAGAAAACATGTGCAATATCCAAGTGTAATGAACTAAAACGACCACTAGATGGCAGCACATGAACCATACTATATCTATGAGAAAATGGCTTAAAGGAGAACTATGGGGTCAGTGTTTTTCCCCATGGTTCTCCTCAGGGTCACGGGAGGACATAAACTAGCGTCCTTCCGTGAACCAAAGCTCAGTATATTGCGAGCTACAGCTTGTGGTATACTGAGACCGCCGCAGCCGGGAGGGATCCCGACATTACTCTCGAGATCCACCCAGCTGTGTGAGTGACAGCTGGCTCTGCCTATCTAGAGGCAGAGCCAACTGTACCCGCCCCCTCCATCGTCTGTTACGCCAGCGCTGAGTGACAGTCACGGCTCTCTGCAGGGACATGATCGAGAAGTGAGCGAGCAGCGGTATATGTGTTCGTTTACTTCCGGATCTATTAAGCCGACATGTGACAGTTTCATTGTCACACGTCGGCTCGAACTATGAGGTTGAGTGAAGATCACTCGCCTCATAGTTCTCCATTAAGGAAAACAAACTACATAAATTCTCATCTAACATCAATGTGAATATTAACTGTGGCTGTGAATATAACTATTGTGGCAGCACAGTAACCAATTAGCTTCTATCTTTCATTTTCTTAATGAAACTGGCTTAACTGAACAAACAGAGAAACTGAGAGAGAAGCTGATTGGTTGCCATGTGCAACCTCTCCATATTCTCTCTGCTACCATTTTTGATAAATTCCCCCAGTGTAATTTTGGCTCTGAATTTCAAAGCAAGTGGTGCCAGCCCTACCTACTTTATTTTTGATGAATTACCAAGAACACAGACCTCTCCTCATTCCCTCACACCTACTTGTCTCTATAGCTGCTTTTTATGCACAGGCAGAGATCACAAGAAAGTATCGGCTCACAAGATTTCTGGCATAATCAGCCAGTATTTTTTTGAACTTATCGAACAGATATAAGAAAACACTTTCAATGGTTTATTTAGCAGACCAAACAGGTCATCATTAGGGTTTATAGACAATTTAACATTTACTTTAATGTCTGTTGATTGATATTACATACAATCCCAATGGGCCAAGATTTCACGGTCTATATAAAGAATGGGTGATGAATATTATATGGGTAGCCTCAGACATTTCATAATGTATTCCTAATATTCTATATGGTCTTATTCTTATACTTAGCACAGCGTATGTGTTTTACCATCTGTATGATTTGTATGTTTTGTTTTTTTTTCTCTTTTATATAGATGAATGGGAAAGACGATTTTCATTCCGCCCGTTTACTGATCTGCCACCCCCGGAACCCTACATACCGACAAACAAGTCTTACCCCAGTAATCTCATGAGAAATGATAGCAGAAGTGAGTATAATTGTCCTATTTTAAAAGATAAGTTCACTTTTCTTTACCTATCCCTCTGCACATTTTAATATTTGATACATATCTACTATCCCACTCCTCCAAGATCTTACTGTGTGGCCTGTCCTGAAATCACTCTGCCATTGCACAAAATCTTCACATTATTAGCTGCACTGTGGCATCTATTTATTTCTGTGGAGAACCCAATCATTAATATTAATTGGGGATACACCGAAACGTTTTTTTCGGTGTCGAGTAAGAGTACCAATATATTTTTTTCGGTACTCTCCAATTCCCGAGTACCGGTGCTTTGTGCCATCCCCGTGTTCCCCCTCGTGTTCCTGATTGCCTGTGAAGCCGGAGTTCTAGCGAAAGAACAGATCCTGACCAATCAGGAAGCCGGGCAGCGTGTCATGAGGTGCTGTCCGTCTTCCTGATTGGTCAGGAAGCCGGACTGTTTAACAACATGTGAAGGTGGCTTCCTAGCCAATCGGGGAACCGGGCAGCGCGTCATGACCTGCTTCCTGATTGGAGAGGAAGCCTGGTTGCCTAGGAACATGTGAAGCCGACTTCCTAACCAATCAAGAAGACAGGAGGCGGGTCATTACGTGCTGCCCGGCTTCCTGATTGGTTAGGAAGCCAGGTTGCTTCGCAACATGTGAAGCCGGCTTCCTAGCCAATCAGGGGGGCAGGTGCCGAGGGAGCACGGAGCCGGCTTCCTTTCCAGTCAGGAAGCTGGCTCCATGCTCCCTCGGAACTGCCGGACAGAGGGAGATTTCCCTCTGACCAGAAGTTCTGGTATCGGAGGTAAGTATCGGATCAGTTGGGCGACGTACCAAATACTTGGTATCGGCACCGATACCACTATCGGTGCATCCCTAATATTAAGGATTTCTAAGGAATGGGGTTGTTAATAAGTAAATGCTATTACAGTACCAGTGTAGTGGAGTCATAAAAAGATAAGTGCACCAAGGGTGTATGTCAGAGTAGCCAACCTCAGAATGATGAAAAAAATTCCCCATCACGGTCTTCAGCTATTCAACAAAAAAAGCCTAATTAGACAGTTTCAACATTTTAGGTTAAAAACCAGTTTGTTGCCTACATTGGCAAACGCATGTGAAGCCACACTGCCACATCAAGACACCTCTGCAACGTGTAGTCCCTAACTCAAAACTATTTGAGCTACAAACTAGAGACATAGTAACAACAATGAATACATTAAGCGCACGCATGCCTTGTAGGCAACCCTTCCTCCTTTTTATAGTACAGAAACACAATAGAAAGTCAACATAACTCAAGGCAACTGAAGACCTCCGGTGTGTGCTTTTTACCAAAACCAACAACAATGATAACCGTTTATATTGATTTATAACTAGCAAAACGAAAGATGTACATGGGCAGGGCAATCTATGGGACAGCCCATTTAAACAGTTTTAACATCTCGGGGTAAAAACAAGATTTTATTGCATACATTTGCAGTTACATGTGAAGCCACATTACCGCGTCAAGGCACCTCTGCAAAATGTGGTCTCTAACTATAAACATATGAGCACCTAACTTGTTTCTGTTGCTGGCATAACCCACCAGCAACAGGGTTGCTAAATTGAACTTCAGCAGCTACTGCAGCAGTGGAGTGACATCTTGCTGGTCAACCAGCCAATGAACAATGCCGTAGAAGCAGGTGAGTGGTTTCTTTGCTGTTCTAGTGATCCATGTCACTGGGGTATCATGGGCCAAAAAGTGCACTGTCCTTACATATTTTATTTCTGTGTATTTTAATTAAGTATTCGCATTGATTTCAGTCTTTCTATAGAAGCACTGTGTTGTTTCAGATTCCAGATTCTTTATAGAAGCACTGTTGGTAGATAGTAAAGGCCACCATACATGCCCATGGAATGGGAGAAAATCAACTGATTCCCCCATCCATGCCATCTGCATGGATGGAGGAATTTCACTGCCTGCTATTGTATTCAGAGGAATCTGCGAGCACTTGAACAGTGACAACATGCAATAGGATGTTGTCACTGTTCGGCCAATGATTTTGTTCCCAGATTTGTCAATTTTTAAATTGACTTTTGTCAAACCAGGTGGTTTTGCACAGGACCGTCCGCGGCTTGAATTTTAGCCGATTAAGCAGGAATCGCCCAAAATTTGAGCGATCTGCGGGAACTTTAACTCTTAAAGGTAGCAACCTATATTAACACAAGATAAAATAAGCCATTATGAATGTGAACCCACCAGTGTCACCCAATAACCGTTATTAACAATTATTATCTTGGGGTTATTCACACAGCTGCCAAAGGCAGCTGAGTGCATAACCCAGCCGAAGTGAAGTGAGCCGAATGACGTTCGGCTATTCACTCCGACTCCGGTTGAGCCGCTCGGCTGCTGTACGGGTTATTGTGAATAGCCCGTACAGCAGCCCTTCTGTTCGAGTGAACCGAAGGGCAGAGGCGGCCGAAGGATGAGCCGAAGCTACGGCTGGATCCTTCGACTCTGTAGTGAATAACCCCCCAAGAGTCTTGGCTTTATGTAAGCTTTATATCCTATCTGACATGTATGTTATCCGGATGTTCTAGGTGGATCTTCCAGAAGAGAGAGAGGTGCCCCTCCTTTGCCTCCAATACCCAGGTGAAAAGGATCTCCATGCCAAAGATGCCAGTGTTCCTTGACTTTTTTTGTATATGTTGGAAGAAAAGAAAAAACAAAAGGCCTTTATAGGATCATCTGAATGACTGGGTGGATACATCTTAGTCTACGTTTGCATTGCATTATTGAGAGATGTTGTGTTACTGTCGATCAGCATAGCTGTATTGTTGTCCTGAGGATAACCAGTGTTAAAAAAAACAACATAAAGACCTAACAATTCATGACAATGAAGACATAATTTCTTAAATATTATTGGATATTCTCAGGAATCTAAAAAAAAAAAAATTGGTACATCTACTCATTGATTCTTCATGTCCAGAAAGAAAAGCTGAACTTTCTATTGAAATCTGTCTTTTATCTTGGAAATCCTATGCAATTTTTTATTTAGGTGAATGATCCAAATGTGCTTGCAAATTCCTTAAAAGTGTGATGTAAATGTGCATCCTTGCACCTCAGGGAACTCCAAATATAGGGGTGCTTGCTCTCTGCAGATGACATTTCCAACAACAGAGTATTTTGGCACTCCCCTTGTCTTCTGCAACATTCTCTTACATTAGACAGAGCGCTTGAATCTGTGTACGGAGCAAAATGCAGGCTTTTTGTCAGTATGGGGGCTCTGAGCATGCATTGCATCATGGGAACCACCAAGGGATATAGGATGGGAAAGGGAGCAGTTTGTCACATAATAAAGGTACATGCAGACACCTTTAGGTACCTGCCATCACATAATATAGCACAACTGAGTTGCCTAGTTGGTGACTGGTTCACTTTACCTAGTTGTAGTCAATTATCAGTGAAAATTCAGACCACAGTTGCCCTCTCGATTTATTTTTTTGTTTTGTTTTCATTTATTCCCAGTCAGCTTATAATGTGAGGTAAAGGGCAGTCTATGTGTTTTAGTCCGTTTTGTGGTGATCACAAGTGGAAAGAAAGTCCCATTGTGAAATGGGTGCTGGTCTATGTGCACCAAGTGCAACATCTATAAAGGTCATTCCAAGTCTTTATTATGTGAGTAATGTGGAAAATGGTAAAACATTATTTTTTTTAAAGTTTAACCCAGCCTTTCTCCACCAGGGTGCCTTCTGGCTTTCTCAGTGGTGCCTTGATGTTTTTACAGTGTCATGCCTCTGATGTGAAAGGGGGGCTTCTGATTTAAAGAGGGTTTCCTAGTGTGAGCAGGGGCTCCTGATGTAAAGGGGGCTCTTATGTGAAAGGTGGCACTCTGTGTTCTTGCATGGGGTCACTCTTAAAATTCATACCAGACCCCTTATCAGGGTATTTTGGAGGGACCCCGTGTCATTTTTTACATTGATGGCTTTTACATTTTAGACTGGGGCGCCTCAAGATGTTGTATACTTTTAAACTGTGCCGTGGCTGAAAGAGGGTTGAGAAACTCTGGTTTAACCTATCCACTTACAGTATGTTACATAGCTTTATTTGTTTCTGTTGCTAGGAAAAATTGCATTGAAGTTAAAAGGTTTTTGTCGCAATTGTTACAAGAAATTTGTAGCTCAGCTGCTGAACACTTTGAAATGTTTGCAGCATTTACAGATCGTTCATGTTCACATACCTTTCATACACGAGTGCCGTACTGTTTTGAAAAGACCTAACTGTACTTGGAGACGATACATTGCTTAATAAGACAGTTGTGGTCATGTTGCGGCAATCCCTAGCAACAAGTCGGCATTCATCTCTTAATGATTTCAATACAGCACACCACAATCTGATTGGCTGCTGCTGTGTGCTGCATTTTGCACAGTAATTTCACACTCTACGTTTCTGTCAAATTCATGTAGCTCTAGTTCTCATACATAGGTGTGGAAGGACAACTTTACAGGCCAAACTTGTGGAAGGAGCATATCCTCAGGGGGCGGTAGACTAGATCATATATTATAGTGCTCAAATAAACTCCTGGATGAAATGAAGCTCTCTTTTTAAACAGTGTTAATGTAGAATGAAAACGTTGTGAAGCAGGCCAGTAATGCAGTAGTGATAGATGTTTATGTAGTATGTACCCTTTACCTAGTCTGTGAACAGAGGCATATCTACAAAAAATTGTGTGCCTAGTGTCCCACCCAGCTCCTGGCAACCAGTGATGTCACTGGTTGCCAGGAGCTGGGCGGCATGCCAGCCAGAGCGTCTCTGGTTGGTAAGAGTGGGGGGGGGGGGGGGGGGGGTGTGGGGGGGGGGGGGGGGGAGGAAGTGTGCTGGTCACAGTTTTGAGTTGGCTTCGACAAACGCCAGAGAAATGGGTTTACACCAAGTCCCAGCTCATCACTGTTAGAAATTAATACTTTATTCAAACTCCTCCAAAATCTGCTCACTTCTTTTCATAATGAAAATATTAATTTTGTGTGACTGGCTTTTTAGCTAGAGGGGGGGGGGGGGGGGATGTGTATGGGAGAGGAGTGGGGAGAGAAGAAAAGTCAGCTGTCTTCCCCTTCAAGTGGCGCCCAGAGTATGTGCCATACCGTGGATATGCCACTGCCTGTGAACCAGGCTGACCTTGTGTCGATAAACCACAGAGTGTATCTGAGAATAGTGCTAGCAAGCAATAGCACTGTCTGCACACCCAGCCTGATACATATACACGTCTGAAACAAAAAATCCACATACATGACTATATCCTTCATATTATCTAAAGGGAGATTTAATGTGGGGCCTCAAGCTGGTTTGCCATGTAGTAGTTTGGTGTTGGGAATAATTAGAAAGCTGAAATAAGTTATGTTTACATAGGTTTATATTTTGAGTGGTACAAAATGTCTACAGAAAAATGTATGTTTTTTTATTTTTTTATTTTTTATAGTTTGGTTGTTTCGATTGTGTTTGAATACCATACTTGAAGGAACTGTGAACTTCATTTGGTACCGTTATGTTGTAGCATCCTTTGCAAAACTGTCTTCATACATAGACCTATTGTTGCTAATGGACTCGGTGTTCCAGAAGGTTAGGTCTGCTTCCCAGCAGAGCAATCGGCCAACTTAGCCTAAGGCTGGGCACACACCTTACAACCATCGCAAGACTTTTGTCTTGCGATGGTTATAAGGTACTTAAAAAAAAGTACGATCTGCCTATGTTGCATAGGCAGATCGTACTTGCGATGATCGCAAGCCACGCCCCCTGAGGGGCGGGCTTCCGGTGACCGCAATGCCGAACGCGCAGTGTGCGCTTGCGCACACCGGCCCGTGCGGCTGTTATCGTACGGCCATGCCACAAACCCGCCGAACATCGTACGATGCTCGGCGGGTTTTCAAACATGTCCGTAAGTTTAAAGTCGTGCGACCTTACAGTAGTAGAGGTTGCACGGCTTCCACACACCTTACGATCATCGTACGATCGCGGGATTTCCCGCGATTATCGTACGATAATCGTAAAGTGTGTGGGGACCCTAAGAAACAAAAGCAGTTGTATGTTTGGTCGGTGTTGTGCTCTTTGCAGGATTGGTAACATACTTGAATGATCACTGGACCACTAAGAACCCAGCACAATCTTCTGCCTGATTGGAAACGATTAGCGTCCACTTGCACAGCGATTTTGCAGCACGTTTTAAAATCTGTGTGCTGTAATGATCACTTCATATTGCTGGAAGTGTTAATTAACACTACATAGCCTGCAACAATTGCTACAAGTGATCCTCACATTGATTAGTCTTTAATTGTGCAACGTATGACCAGTCAATGGCTGGTTGATTTTTTTTTTTTTGACCGATAAAAAAAGAATTGAGCATTTTATGTATTTTTAATGTAATCTTTGGTTGAAGAAATGCAAAAGCATGAAAAAGAGGCAAATACTGTCAGCGCAAGATCTTCACTGTATGGTCACCTATAGTATTTTCGGGAGTATTTGAGTCTATACTGTTGCACTGTGAGATGCATTTTTTTTTTTTCATTTCTATTTTTTATTAACGTTTATAAACACAATCTCTATTATATACCTATTAATTCACTCATGCATGCACTGGTAGGTTGAATCACCCACTAGCTTGTTATACCTGTCTTGTAGACCCCAGGAGGGAGATTTCCACCCGTTGGTATGTCACCTCTTTGGCAGGGCCACAATGAAGGTCACTTTCTTACACCGACGACTATGTAAAAGCTGCAGCGGTCAGGTATAAGGAGTTAGTGTATGATTTAACTTGCTAGTAACCATATCAGACGAAAACATTTTGGGTGGAGCTGGTGATTAAATTGCTCATTCCACTCCCAAGATAAGCAATGCACAGGATAGCATAAACGGTGTTTGTTCTTTAACTTCCAGGCAAAAAAGCACAAAGTTGGTAAATATATAATCCTATTATGTTAGTTTACATTTTTGAATTTACTTCTTTTCTATTTTTATATACTGATTTCATCCATGGATTTTTATACAATGAAGGTTTCTTGGGGTTTTTTTTTTTGCATTTTTCTCTTAGTCTTTTCAGCAGCATCATCAATAATAAGGTCATTGCTTTGTTTGATTTTCCTATGGTCTTATTATGCAAACCTACAGTAGTTGTATTTTCTTATTTAACTTAGTGCTGTTATAAATGCACTGCAATATGATTGTACAATGTAACTGCAATTTTAATGTATTTTAATGCTAAAGTGTGATCAAACAGTTCTTTTTTTTTTTTTGTCTGCTGTTTTTGATGATATGCACTAACATGTCGTTTCTACATCCGTGGCCAAATATGTTTTGTAGCTGCATTTTCCTTGTGTTCCACTAGAGGACAGAATATTCATGTCCTGAAGATCACTGATGTCTATAACCATTCTGAAACTTACATGGTTGTATGGGGTGCAGCCACACCAGAACCCAAAATTAGAAGGGGCCCAAGCTGCAACCACATATTGAACATGTTGTTGCGTTTGTGGAGGTTTCTCTTACTCAAAAAACAGTATGCAGAGGCACCCAATGAGTAATTCTTATGATAATGATGTCATCATGCTACATGATGTCATTATAGCAGTAGAGAATGAGAAGGTGTAGTCCTGTCTCTAAGCACATTTTATTATATAATTTTTTTGCTGGAAAATAACAAGGGGGAAGGTACTAGGTAGGAAGGAAGCGTGCACTGCAGTTGCTGTCACAGATGACACAAGTTTGCCTAAAGTTGGCATTGCAAAATCAGAGGTTTGACTGCAGCTAAGGAATCGTGTATGGATCAGAATTCCCAGGCAAATGTAGACACTCCATTGAGCATGGTCTTAAGTTCTGTATGAATTGGCTGAGGAAGTAGTTTTAGCAACGTGTGTGTGTGTGTGTGTGTTTACACACACACACACACACACACACACAGTACTTCTTAGGTTTTACAGTAAGGAGAATGCAGTGATAGGGAAGTGAGTCTGTGGAGGGAACATCAAAACCTGGACCTGATATACACCGATCAGCCATAACATTATGACCACGAAGTAAATAACATTGATTATATTGTTCCAACGGCACCTGGAAGTTCGTGGGATATATTAGGCAATAAGTGAAGATTCTGTCCCTAAAATTGATTTGGCGTGTTGGAAGCAGAAAAAA